CTTCCTTGCAAGGTGGTACGAATCAACCCCGAGCGCGGCCGGGGCGGCGGGGCACGGCCGGGTCCCTGAGCCGCGTGGGGATCCCTTGCTGTTGGTGAGCGCATTCAAGCACCGAACGGGGGGGGCGGGGAGGAGGCGCTCAGTGCCCCCTCTGAGCCCCAGGCTCCTGGTCCCCTGTCCCCCAAACGCCTTGCTCGCATCTCTGCCCCTCAGTTTGCCCCATATAAGTTGTATGAACTAAGCCATTTTACTTATTTTGGCCTAGATTTCGTGTTTTTCCATGAATTTTTAAAGTAGCCTCTCTACAAGACAGATACAGGTTACCCATTGGGAGAGAACACACGTATTGGAAACCAGAGGGCCAAATTCCCAGAGCACATAAACATTTTAAACTTCTAGGTGGGGATGCTGAAGGACTTAATTGAATTGGAGACGTTGCAATGATGTATGAAGACCTCATTTTATAACCCAGCTAGAGAGAGCTGCAGTTGCAGTGTGTCAATTTTCTCCCTAATTGTCTGTATTGACCAAATAATCAATTCACTTTTCATAGAGGGACCAAATTAAATATTTTCCACATTTTCGTGTGATGAGCTAAGTCCATCTTGAATTTTTTATTAAAAGTATACGTTTCAATTTAAAAAACCTCTTGCTTTCCACTTACCCATGAATTACTAAAATATAAAAGCCACCCATCCCCAATCAAATTTAACTCCCAAACTAAGATTGCCAAGGTGACACAGGTATTCTTATCTTAAATGTAGGACATTCTTCATCCAAGGGTAGTTTATGTCTATGTGGGTACGTGGTATGAATGTACAAGGTGTGTGTGGGGGGGTACTAACAGGTTTAAAAATCTGCCAGTGTCTACTTAACTTGGCTTTAGAACACATGGTTTTACCCAGTATCAGCCAGTGGATTACAATAACAAACCCCTCAGTGTCTTTCTCCAAACTACAATCTTTTATGTTGTGCTGTATTAAGATTTCTTTTTTTGTGTCATATTGTTTAGCTCCAGAAAAAAAAAGAAAACAAAGCAATTAAAAAGATTGACAGGTATGGTTTGTGAGAGACCTATTTGTAATTGTCAGGGTGACGTTGGCGAGAGGAGGAGGAGTAAAAACTGAAGCAGGAAAAGCAGCTCGATGTGTCTGTCTATCAGTTGAGACTGTCTGAAAGCTCTGCGATCGGAATGTGTGTTATATTTCACTGAAAAGAGGAGAGAGCGAGAGTGCATCTCCCTCTCTCCCAGGAGTTTGGGGGGGGGACAGTCCACGCTCATCTCGCCCACCTAGTGAATGTCGGCTCTGCGCCCCTTTGCACACACTCTCTGGGTTGTTGTTGCCCTTTTTTTTTTTTTTTTGAGTGGGGGGCTTTTGTGTATTTTTCTTTCTTTTTTTTTTTTCTGTTGGAAGATCAAGACCGGCCAAAAATCCATGATCAAAATGTGTTTGTATTAGATTTCGCATTGGAAGAAGCGGCGATCCTGGCGGCAAAGCCAAGTGGCACCAAGTGGCGCTCCGGCCGGGTGACACTGTTTGATCTGTGACTGTTTGGAAGGTGGAGCAGCGCCTGACATCTCCCCCTGGCGCGTGTGTGTAAGGGGGCTTCACTCCTCTGTCTTGTTTGCTTTCTTCCTCTTAGACTAAGTGCAGGAGGAAAAGGACAGCCTGGATCGGCCTCGCTGGCGCTCAATGAGAAAACTGCGACCCGCGCATTGAAAACCCTCGCCGCGACCCCCGAACCGCGAGAAGAGGGGGGAGAGAAAGTTGCGCTCGGAGACTCTCGGCTCTGGGAGGAAG